TAATTAATTAGTTGAATAAGATATATTTGCACATTGGAACAATTCTAATATAATTTAATATTAAACTCAAGTTAAGTAAGAAGTTAAATCAAGAGATTTTAAAATTGAATCATTAGGATAAATTTAGTAAAAATACTAAATAATTTTCTATTAACTAAATATTTTTTTATTATATTCATTTTTTTTTAATTCAAACACATTGCAAGGAGATCCCAGTATAAAAACTGTAAACCATCCACTTCGTGATATTTTATATAAAATTAAGTCCGTGAATTGTTAAGAAAAACATTAAAAAGAATGTACATATCCCACCTCTAGCATACAAGTAACATATGGGGGTAAAATTCAGAAACCATCAAGAGGAGAAGAGGACGGCTAGAAAGCTTGGATGTTCCAAAATGCTTTGTGCATCATTTTGAGGTCGTATTATACGTGTTTCTTGTTAATTTGAGCCAACCATATCGTCCTCATATAAATATTATTGAAATCTAGAAGTTAATACTATGCTTGCAGCGGCTTCACATTTTCAACGCGTAAATTAAAAGTTGAGAACTTTCTGCTCTTACAGTATTGTTCAAATTAACTTAACTAGTCAATTTCCACATCACACGCCGTTGAGATACCTCACTTATTCAAAGTTTGGGATCATGTTTCCGTACTCAATTTAATTTGTGCTAAAGTACTAGGACATATATACTCTCCCATTATTCACATTAATTTCAAGTTTTTCAAACTAGAGGTACTCCAAGGCAGCGTTTAGAGAAAGGAGACTAGAACTTTGATCTCAAAGTGCCCTCGTTGATGAGAGGATGGAGACAGCAGAAGAACACGCATCATTTAGAGCAAAAGAAACAATAAACCAAGGATGTAATAATTAGCTTCGATAAAATAAAGGTGGTTGAGAATGACCGGGACTGTTTACAAAACAAAAATTTCATTGCTTGTCAAAGAAAGGTGATGATAATTGTACTTCTTGTAACATGATCTGATATTTGGACATTACTAAGAGTTGAGGAGGTGGATATCATATCTGAAACTTAATTTAAGAAGAGTTTTATATTTTGTATTAAAAGTATATTTAAAAAAATTTAAATTTTTTTATTTTTTAATTAATATTTTTTAGTGTTTTTATATTATTTTCATGTGTTGATATTAAAAATAATTTTTTAAAATATTATTTTAATATATTTTAAAATAAAAAAATATTTTAAAAAACAAATAAACAGACTCTAAAAATATTCTTAACCTGGGTTTCTATACAAAACAGCCTATTATTAGCACAACAGGTACTGTATATGTATGATTATGAAGATGAAACCATGATAATAAACTCAATTTTATTTAAGAGAGATTTTTATTTAAAAGAGAATAATAAAGCTTATGTGTTTTTACATTTAAAAATATTAAAAAAATTCTTTGTTTCAAAATTTTTTAAACACTTTACATGTCATTTTAATATATTTATATCAAGAATAAATTTTAAAATATATATCTTTAAATAAATAATACTTTAAAATTTAAATATCCAAACTAGCCATTAATTTACTTGATTAAAGCGAAGTAGAATAGAGAAAAAAACAAAACTCAGCTCAGGGAAAGAAAGTACTGAAGAAATAGGAAAAGAAAGGACTTGGAACAGTATATGGATAGACATCGCTCCATTAGATTTCATGTGGGAAACGAAATCTGGAAAGATGACTGCCCTTGAAAAACGTTGCCAGCTTTTTGAAAGATAAAACAGTTTAGATTTTCAACTGAACTTTCCTGTTTTGTCTTGTATCATAGATTATTTGGAAAAAAAAAATTCTGGCTGGGTATGGAAAGAGACAGCCAAATGGCCACCTGGGAGTTTCGGGTCTAGTTATCAGACAGCCAAGTCCCCACCATTTTTCAAAACCAACCTACGCCACATGTGTCCAGAATCTGTGGTTGTCTTTACGTTTGAATTGTGTTTTAAAAAAAATCTTGATTTTTTATTATTTTTTATGTTCTAGAATTATTTTAATATATTAATATTACAAAAATAAAAAATATTATCTTTGTATTATTTCAATAAAATATTACTTTAAAAAATAACATCAAAAACAATCTTAAACGGAAAACTCAGCCAGCAGCCAGATGGGCCCACCATTTTGGATTTTTCACGGCACTAGACTCCATGGCTAATGGCCCACATTACCATCAGCATTTTCGCTGTGTAAGGTAAAAGTACAATACAGTGTACGGTCTACGGAGTTTTGGACCTTTCTTGCTTCAAACCTATCGCAACTGCCCGACAAGCTCTTTTTTTATTTTTATTTTTTTTCCTCTCAAATGGGCAAATCCTACAGTGTGAGCGGGATGCACCTAAGGAGAGATACAAATTAACGGTGACCTCCCCCCCCCTCTGTATGTGCTGAAGTTTTGAGCTGGGAATGAATGGTATTTTCCTTTTTTTAGCCCTCCAATAAGATTTACTTGCTTTGTTGCAATTAGTATCAATACAAAATAAATATTTTTTGATTTATTTTATTTTTATTCGAAAAATATTGGATCAGTTTTTTTTATATATATAAAATTTCATGCAAATATGGATAACATGTTTAAAATATGATAATAAAGGATTTAACTTTGGTGTTTAAAACAGACAAGACAAGTCATAAAGGAAACATTTTTTTTTTTTGCGTGCCTTACGGCCTTACCTCTATATGTAGGTCAACAATATTGTTGTCTTAAAACTAGGTTATGGCTTGGAAATATCCTCGGGCTACCATTTGCCCATTTTCAACCTACACACTATTCATGTTTTCTTTTCTTTGTACACCAAACATGTGACATTCTTTTAGATGATGATGACTTGATTGACGCGTCAAATTCGTTTACAAATGAAATAATATATGTAAGTAACAGGTTCCTTTCATGATTTCGCTTCTTAATTTCCCATGTTTAAAGCACAATTTTATTTTCTATTGTGGTTTGGAATTATGCTGCTAGCAATATTTTTTAAAAAATATTTTTTTAATTATTTCATTTTTTATTGTTTTAACATATTATCAAATAAAAAAATATTTTAAAAAACAATCACCATTGTAGTCTTAAATATCCGATTAGCATCAGCTTTCAGTGTAGTCTTAAATATCCGATTAGCATCAGTTTTTGTTCTTCCATCCCCAGCCAATAATATTACCATTTTAAGAAAGGGAGATATATGATGGGTATGAATGAGACTGAACGGTGTATAATGGCTCCCTCGAAATAGGAATTTTACTCTAACCTCTTAATTTCCATATTCTTCATTTATTTTTTGACTCGGTAATTTTTTTCATACAAAAAGAAAAGTAGAATTTCTCATACAAGAAGAAAAGTAGAAAACCCAAACGAGAAAAATAAATAAGTTAATTGATTGTTAATATTATTTGACTGTCATGCTGGACAAGTCGAGATGAAATTACCCCAATACAAAAGTTGAAAAGGATTTAAAGAGACTAATAACGAGCTTATTTATGTCTCCATGACTTAGTCGTATATATTTTCAATAATGCATTCATAGAATAATAATACCAATAATATATATATACACACACACATTTTAATTTTGTTCAACTAAATAAATCAAATTAATATATTTGTTATATTATTGGCAAGAAATCTATGTTTTCAATCTAATAATTTGTGCCTATATAATATGCCTTTGGGTGTCTTTTGAAAGAATATATTTTCCTTTAAAAAAATTAAATTGATGTTTTTAGTATTTTTAATAATTTTAATATATTAATATAGAAAATAAAAAAATATTTTAATATATTTACAACCAAAAAATAATTTTTTAAAATAACATACTTGGCAATACGGAACATGCACTAGCTTATTTAATTCAAATAGGGGTTTGCTACGTGTTGAAAGTGAACTGAGTAGCATTATAAAATCAAGGGCCGCGTGGTACCATAACCACCCGTACAATAACTTTTCTCTTACCCACGTCCCTTAATTCTTGTATTCCCAATAGTGTACGTGGCAGAATCAAACAATTTCTCGGAAGCAACAAAAACTCCAGTCAAAATCTGGTATCGTAGATCAATCAAACGGTCTAAAATGACTTTGCTATAACAAATCAACGATTTTCTTCCTTAATTTTCTAACGACTTTCGGGTAAATCTCGCCGCAACCATGCTCATCGGACCGTTCATTTATCTGACCTTTGACTTCCTCTCTCTAAATTTCAACACTTTTTTTCATATCTTCAAGGAAAAGAATCGCGTGGCCGACAATATCAACTCTCGCCACTTCTCTTTCTTCTTTCCTTCCCTTTTGACCCGTTAAAATTCCCATACAATTAACTTAACTGAAGGAAAAAGCTATAACAATGATCAGTCCCTGCTGTATAATTTAGTAACAAATTAGTCCTCAATGTTAAGACTTTGCTAATTTTCACCTGCATTTCTTGATTTAAAATTCGTCCGTACTTTTAATCCCACAGAACTTGTAGTGTGTGCTCCGTAAAGGGCTAAAACTTGACTAAAAAATAGACATTTAATAAAATAAGCTTTTATTTTTAAAATTCATTACTACATAGATTTTTATTTTGAGATTTTGTTTGTCATATAATTTTTAAATTGGTTATGAAGTATGAGGTTTTGATTTTTTTTATGTTTTCTTTTACTTCCACTAAAAACCTTAATTAAAATATAATAAAGTTTATTTAAAAAAATATGAAAAGAAAAATATTTCTTATCACTTGATCTGGTGAAACTGCTCGATTATTTCCTATATAAATAATCAAAATATGTGTTTATAATCTTACGTGTCTCTTTTAACACTTCCTTATAGAGCTAACAAGGAGGATGATCTTGTTAAACCAAAGCAAGATCAGGGGAAAGCTAACAAAAATATTTAAGGTCGGTGACCGATACGTTATATTTTATAAGAACGGGGACAGATTTGTAGTTACCCAAAAATAAAAATTCCCATAGCAATTGCTTTTCCCCCGTGTCTCTGCTAGTGGTAGATTCTTCTTTAGCATCCCTTTATATATGCCTCTTCTCTTTATCTCCCCTAAAGCTCTATTCCTCATCTCCACCACCACACAAGAATAACTAGCATCACCACAATTATCACCACCGACGTCTACCACTACCGTCACCGAGCTTGGCAGAAGAAACGTTTAGATAGACACATCTTGATACTTTCTGGAATGAAAATCTCATTTTGCAGCATAAACTGAGATGTCCAACATACCAACTTCTCTTTCTGAAGTATGTCTTACTCTCTCTCGTTTAACCATGTCCGTAGCAGACCCATGGCCCTTTTCTTGAACCTCATCACACTCTAAATAAGCTCCCCTCTACCCCTTACAACCTCAAAAAGCACCCCTCTTTTCTGTTCTCTCGTACTGTTAATATAACAAATTATGAGAAAGATAAGAGGTTTCAAGATTGGCAAACGGTTAGTCCGGATCTCCACATGGGTCTTCCGTCGGACCCGGATCCACCCACCGGGTTCCAACCTTTTAGGCCTATCAGAATCAACATGCAGGTCCAAGCCAAAGCCCATATCGAAAATCATCAACTGGGGTCGCCGTTTAACTAAAGGAGCTAAATCACTTTGCGCTGCAAAACCAGGGTCGGGTTACATACCCATGGGTCACGAACTGGTTTGCGATAAACCGGTTACCGTACCAAAAGGGCATCTGGCTGTTTACGTTGGTCAAAAAGACGGCGACTTTCATAGAGTTTTGGTGCCTGTGATTTATTTTAATCATCCTTTGTTTGGTGAGTTATTAAGAGAAGCCGAAGAGGAATATGGGTTTAATCAACAAGGTGGGATTACCATTCCTTGCCGATTCTCGGAGTTTGAGAGTGTCCAAACCCGTATTAAAGCTGGGTCTGGAAGGAAGCCGACGTGGAAACGTAACCACTATTGAGGAAGTGGGGTTTTTTCCCCTAGTGATGACGATGATGACGATAATGCTGTTTACATGATGATTATGTATGGAATTTTTATTTAGGTAGTAGTTTACATTATTTTTTCTGTCAGATTTTACTTTTTAAAGCTTTACATTTGTCTTTCACTTTTCTTTTTTTAGTGATGGATTTGCAGGTGTAAATTGGTAGAGATGAGTTGATGATGAAGATTATAATAATAATAATAATAATAATAATAATAATAGAGATGTTGATAGTAGAATGATGCTTGCCATTTTAGTTGATTAGTTATTAATTCTACTATATAATATAATCTCATCAAATTAAGAATATCGAAAGAACTTATGATTAATGATTACAGTCCTTATAATTGTGATCACACAGTCCTTATAATTGTGATCATCCAAACAATCTTCTTTTATTGATGATTAGTGACTTTTATTTACAACACGTTTAAGGAAGAGATTCTAACATGAAACCTAGTGAAAATTAATGGGTGCCGGCATCCAATGGCCACCAAAACCACAGTGTGTTAAAAGTTATAAATAATGGAGACTTGAATTTAGATGTTCTATGTTTTCAGTACTTTTTTCTGTACGGAAAATAATTATTCATAGTTTATTAAGGTTAGATTTTGGCTTCTCTCCTTCGGATAGAAAGGGCACAGTGCATAGAACTTACGGTACTCATTTGGGTGGCATGAAAGGTCCATAAAGTCGAACCGATAACGTGCTTGACTTGGGTGGCATGATGGGTTCACTTACGTCTACAGATCTGAAGTTCTGGTTCCTGCTTAGAAAAATAGTCTGATTTTAGGTGAATTTTGCAATCATAGATAGCATACTGTTTTTACAGTTGTGGGAGGCTAAAGAATGCAAGGGATTCTTCTGTTATGCAGAGTTTTCAAAGGTTCTTTTAGGGTAAGATTTTAGGTCAGAATGAAGCGCCTAAATGCTACACGATTGGACAAAGATTGAGGAATTCTGTTTTTTTTCCAATTTCACCTAAAACTTTAGTTTTGATTAAAAGGGATATATAGATAATTTGCCGTCCCTTCATTAATCACCATTCGTGTCCTTATCAGCAGTAGTGGAGAATCCTATGGCCGGAATCAACTTGAATATTACGCATACCAACCACAACTTGATGGGGCTAATGCCAGTCCTTTGATTGTGTCAAGATCTACGGATCAAATGGTGTATTGCTGTCTATTGAAGCTTGGTGGATGGATGTGAGCGACCCTTCCAGGAAAAACTATCAATTGGCAAGGTACTGCATCACGTTTCCACTTTCTAGGATGGTAGCAATCTTGCAGAATCTGGAAAAGGAAGTGGGATTGGTTGTTGGGTTCTTATGACAATTGATTGCAAGGAGCAGCAACAATTATACAGATGAAGAAGTACCTTGGCAAATAATAATACCAAGGGACCAAAAAATGCCTAGATTGGAAGATTTTACTCTAGCCTCTAGGCCTTTGGCAATATTCTGAAGAAAATATCTATATATAATGGCCAGTAAACTTCCTCGTGGTTTGGTTTAGCTGGTGTAGCTATCAGTCGAAGTGTGGATGGTTCGATAAGGTCAAGAAAGGCAACATCAAGGCTCATAATTGTCAAGGTCAGTGAACAAACTAGAGCATTCAGCTCCCGGCACTTGAGTCCTTCCTTACGCAAGGAATATCTTTAATCCGGTGTCTATTATTCACATGAAGCGGAAAAGAACAAAATCACAAAAAATTGTTGCCATGTTCAAGACTTGCCAATTTGCACTGGATTTGGACCAATAGAAACAAACTCATTTTGTGATCCAATCTGAATTGAGTTCTTAAAGGCAGGTATGCCCAAGCACGGAAAGGTTCATTCTTTTCTCGTACATAACGGCAGAAGGCTATGTTATGCGTGTCACTACAGGAATCGGTCAATTTGTCCATTCCAACGAAGTTTCTGCCAAAAACTAAGCAAGTAGCTGATGCGAGGGCGACCAGCGTAAAGGCCACTTGGTCAGGTAGCTGAAGTGGTCCAATGGGCCAAGCCCGATTTGCAAGGCCCCAATAAATACGTCGCCGTTCTAGCAGTGAAAATTTATAAACAAGTGCGACGTCGTTTTGAAAGGAAACGATAATAAGCAGGAACAACGTCTCTTTAAAGCATAGCGCTCCCAACATTCGCTAGCCAAAGCGACGAGTGTTGATATTAGTTTTGTATGAAGATTTAGTATGATTTACTTACGTGTAAACCATTAGCTCTCTCTCTTTTTTTTTTCATGTCTTTGTAATTAGATGGAAAACCTGGAAAGGTGATTTGTCTTTGTAAATCATTTATTCCTTGTTTCAATCATTCATGTGCCTTTGTGCTGCACCAAACTAACTTACATATCATGCATGCATAATGATTCCTATAGAACCTCCGTGTGATGCTACGCCAATTACATTTGATGAAATTAAGTTTTCCTTTTCTATTCATCAAATTAGAGGAAAGAATTTTACTTAGCGCTGCATGATGCCTGTTGTCTTCTGCCAATATACAAAGAGACCTTTCACCCCTCTCCCGTAATCAAACTGACATCATTGCCTTTTTGAGTTAGCTTAAGATAAGAGGTGAAAGTTTTACGCTGTGAACACCGACAGAATTTACTGTATATAAAACTAGTACATCTGATAGTGAATGATGTTGCGTCAATCATTAGAACTCTACCATTATGACACTGTGTGTTTCTAGCGAATTGGGAATTTTGTTGCTATTGCAAAGCTTATTTGTAAAAAGCAAATGTCTCGTCACCAAATTTGACTATTGAAATGTTTTCCCTTGTATTCAATGCTGCTTGTTCGTAGTTGCAGAGGTGGTAAAGCAAGTTTTTATGTCACTCCGACAATTTCACTGACTGCAAAACCGTTAGCCAATAGCTAGTATGTTGTCAGTTAATGGAAAAGATAAGATTGTTTAGAGTATTTTTACTTGTTTAATTAGCAACCTGGCATACTATGTTTCTACTTGTCTCTTACAATGAATTACATTCTTGGGAGAGCCTCCATGCCTCAAGCCACAAAACAGTAATAACAAAGAGGTTTCATCGGTCCTTAGTCTGTAATAGCCTCCGTTAACGTATTCGATTGACAAAATAGAGTAAAATAATAAATCTTTATTCATGATAATGATAACTCAATAATAATTATGACCTAACTCGAGATATCCGTAATTGAGATTAAAATTATTTAATAATAAAATAATAAAACCCATATATAAAAGTTTATAATCTGAGTTATAAGGCTTGAAACAAACAATCTAGAAAAATCATGAAATTTAATTTTTAATTAATCAAACATTTAAGGATAAAATTAAAAAAAATCAATTATATAAAATAATTAAAAAAATAAGGATCAAAATTAAAATACAAAATAAACATTATATTTGATTACAGGGTAAAATTAAAAAAAATAAGAGTCAAAATTAACATGAAAATAAAAATAATATTTTGAATAAAAGATGAAATTAAAAAGAATAATAATTTTTAAAAGAGGGTAAGAAAAAAGTTAGAAATCAAAACAATGATAATCAAATTAAAAAAAAATATAATGTCATCAATTTAAATTTAAAGATGAAATTGCAAATTAATAAAATTTTTACAGAAAAGCCAAGGCAAAGAATTAAAAATCTAAAGAATAAAGATCAAATCAGAGGATAAAATAAAGATTATTTAGGATTAAAAGATGAAATAAAAAAACTTATATAGAAAGACTAAGAGAAAAAAAAAAGAACTAAAGTTGAAATATTAACAATCAAAAGGGCAAAACTTTAATTTTCAAAAAAAAAAAGAAAAAAAAAGGTCAATTGATGACAAATTAAATCACTACTAGAGAGACAAGCACCACACTAACAAGAAGAAGACACGGTGATACTTCCAACAACAAGATGAAAAGACATTTTCAGATGCTAGGAGACGGTGCATATGCCTCCTACACACTCTCTAGTATGTCACCTGCTCACATCCTTTATTTTTATTTTTTTTGTAATTAGCTAAATATCAAAGTGCTCATGAGATGACTTTCTAATTATAAAAAAATCAAAAACACCTTTTATCTTAGACTTATTTTTTTAGAGTATTTTTATTTTTTATTATGTATTTTAATTGCTTATTATTTTTTATATTTGATCAAATATCAAAATATCCCTTAGTTTAATTGTAATGACAAAAAAATCATTGTAAAAATACTAAAATATCCTTTGATGCTAAGTTTAAATGTTTTGCTTCCTAATATATTCTAGTCATTTTCACTATGCAATTAAGATGAGAAAATATTTGTTTATTTTTAGTGAATTCAAAAATAATAAATGGGCCATATGAAAGATTGCAATGACTTCAAAAACAAGTATTAAGTTTTCTAGGTGAAATGATAAAATACTATTACACTATTTTAATAAATAGTACTCATGAGTTTGGAGCTCAGGGTCATTAGCTCTTTATAATATTATTAATTTTAATTTTTTTATTCTTGTATTTTTTATATTTGAAATTTAAGTCATTTTGTTTTTTTTTTAAAGTTGGTTTATATTTTTTAAAAATCTTTATGGTACTTAGAAAATAACTAATGATATACTATTAGTTACTTACTAGATTTACTTTGAAGAAAAAAAAACAAACACAAGTAAAAAAAAAAATATGATGAACAAAAAGTAATAATTAAAAATGTTTTCACTTAGAATTTCTTACATTTACTAGTTGTTATCTATTTCTTCAAAGTCGGTTCATAAAGTAATTAATAAAATACTACTAATTACTCCATAAACACTATAAATTTTCTTCTATGTTTTATATAAAATTAATTAAATAATTTCAACTTCAATAATCTTTAATCCAACTTTATCTTTTTTAATAAATTGTTCTTCGAATTTCTTATATTTATTGGTTGTTATCTATTTCTTCAAAGTCGGTTCAGCAATAATAACTATGTTTCAGCTAACTTGAGATATCAATAATTGAGATTAAAATTACTTAATAATAAAATAATAAAACTCATACATAAAAATTTATAACCTAAGTTATTAGACTTGAAATAAACAATCTAGAAAGATCGTGAAATCTAATTCTCAATCAATCAAATATTTAAGGATAAAATTAAAAAAAAAAATTATATAAAAAAATTAAAAAAATAACAATTAAAAAAATGAGGATCAAAATTAAAATATAAAATAAATATCATATTTGATTATAGGATAAAATTAAAAAAAATAAGAGCCAAAATTAACATGAACATAAAAATAATGTTTTGATTAAAAGATGAAATTAAAAAGAATAATAATTTTTAAAAAAGGTAAGAAAAAAGTTAGAAATCAAAAAAATGATAATCAAATTAAAAAATATAATATTATCAATTTAAATTTAAAGATGAAATTGCAAATTAATAAAAAATTTACAAAAGAGCTAAGGCAAAAAATTAAAAATCTAAAGAATAAGGATCAAATCAGAGAATAAAATAAAGATTATTTAAGATTAAAAGATAAAATAAAAAAACTTATATAGAAAGACTAAGAGAAAAAAAAACTAAAGTTGAAATATTAACAATTAAAAAGGCAAAACTTTAATTTTCAAGGAAAGGAAAGGAAAAAAAAATCAATTGATGACAAATTGAATCACCACTAGAGAGATAAGCACCACATCAACAGGAAAAGGACACAATAATGCTTCCAACAACATGATAAAAAGACATTTTTGAATGCTAGGAGACGGCGCATATGCCTCCTACACATCCTCTAGCATGTCACCTACTCATATCTTTTATTTATTTTTATTTTTTGTAATTAGCTAAATATTAAAGTGCTCATAAGATGACTTTCTAATTATAAAAAAATAATTGTAAAAAAATTGAAAACACCTTTTGACCTTAGACTTATTTTTTTAGAGTATTTTTATTTTTTTATTATCCATTTTAATTGCTTATTATTTTTTATATTTGATCAAATATCAAATTATCCCTCAGTTTAATTGTAATGACAAAAAAATCATGGTAAAAATACTAAAATATCCTTTGATGCTAGGTTTAAATGTTTTGCTTTCAAATATATTCTGGTCATTTTCACTATACAATTAAGATGAGAAAATATTTATTGATTTTTAGTCGATTCAAAAATAATAAATGAAGCATATGAAAGATTGCAATGACTTCAAAAGCAAGTATTAAGTTTTCTGGGTGAAAAGATAAAATACTATTATACTATTTTAATAAATAGTACTCATGAGTTTGGAGCTACAAGGTCATTAGCTCTTTATAATATTATTAATTTTAATTTTGTTATTCTTGTATTTTTTTTATAATTGAAATTTAAGTCATTTTGTTATTTTTTCACAAAGTTGGTTTATATTTTTTAAAAATCTTTATGGTACTTAGAAAATAACTAATGATATACTATTAGTTACTTACTAGATTTACTTTGAAGAAAAAAAAACAAACACAAGTAAAAAAAAAAATATGATGAACAAAAAGTAATAATTAAAAATGTTTTCACTTAGAATTTCTTACATTTACTAGTTGTTATCTATTTCTTCAAAGTCGGTTCATAAAGTAATTAATAAAATACTACTAATTACTCCATAAACACTATAAATTTTCTTCTATGTTTTATATAAAATTAATTAAATAATTTCAACTTCAATAATCTTTAATCCAACTTTATCTTTTTTAATAAATTGTTATGTAGAAGTAATTTTATACCTCCCTCTCCACGACACATGAACAACGAATAGGATCCACATTGCAGTATTCACATTTCACACAATAGAATTGATGATGGCGAGGTACAGAATGAGTAACGCAACAACTTGAGATAGGACAGGTCATCTTCTGTATCCTAATTGAGTCAAGAGGCACATATACACCGCTTGGTCAAGAAAATTGCCACGAACTACGAAGGGGCACAATTCGCAGAATCAATATGTATTTTCTTCTCTTGTGATAGTGTTTAGGACGCGGGAATCAAACTGAATAATTGAGTAGGAACAGTGGCAAGACTTTCTTCTGTTGTTTACCTCCTTCTTTGAAAGATTAATTATTAACGATGACTGTTTTAAGGTTTCCGATGTGCCTGCAGCGTTCACTGTAGAGGAGCTTAATCTTCAGAAACTTCCGATTACCGTGCCAAAAAAACAATGGTCGAGACAGATGGAATGGATCTACTCTGGAGAGCATTGTACACCGGAAGTAATTAGACAAACACAAGAACAAGATAAATGTAACAGGCAAATAAACTACGCTTTCTTTTCGCGATAAAAAAAAGAAGAAGAAGCAGTTCCGGCATAGCATTCCCTGATCTGGTTTTTGATTCTTGTGGAACTGATCATCTGTTCATGATTTAGACAGCTGGTTAATAGCTTAGTTACCTAAGCAGAGTGTTTTATATCGTGTTGCAAATATGTAAGAAGGCATCGTTACAATCTTATTGGCTGTGGCAACAATTTTCTCACTATCAAATCGGAATAATACTGATTTGTAACTACTTTTTAGGTCTTGGCTAGAATTAAAAGCAATGGTACATGCTAATCTTTATTGAGGTTGAAGTAAGAAGTTGAAATGTAAGCAAAAAAAAAAAAGGCCATGAAGACTAAATGGGCCCTTTTCTTGGCGGGGAATATTTCTCCAAATAGAAATCCAAAAAGCAACCACATTCCCACTCTCTCGCCATCAGAGCAAAGCACAAAACAAAAACAAAAGAAAGGAAGGCCAAGCTAGAAAAAAAAACAAGAGAAAAGAAATGTTGAGAAGGCTTCACTTGCACTCCACTCACAAAAAAACCCCAGCTCTGAGACTCACTGCACTCTTCTTTCTCTTCCTTTCTCTCAGTAACTATGGCAACTTTGTCAAAGCTTATGTTTTCATCTATGCAGGCTGCTCTCAAGAAAAGTATGATCCCAACTCTTCATATGAAGGAAACCACAACTCGATTCTGTCTTCAGTTTTTAGCTCATCTTCTGAAGCTTCTTATCATAGCTTTGCCATTGGAAATGGAAGCTCAACACCCCCCGAAGGAGTTTGCTATGGCTTGTACCAGTGCAGGGGAGATTTGAGGACTATTGATTGTTCAAGATGCATTGAAAGTGCTGTTAACCAGATAAGTTTGGTTTGTCCATACTCTTATGGTGCTACTCTACAACTTGAAGGTTGCTATGTAAGATATGAGCATGTTGATTTCTTGGGAAGGCCTGATACGAGCCTGAGATACAAGAAGTGCAGTAAAAGTGTAAACAATGATGTTGAGTTCTTTAAGCGTAGAGATGATGTTCTTGCTGACTTGCCAACAGCTATGGGATTTAAAGTTAGTAGTTCAGGTTCAGTAGAAGGCTATGCACAGTGTTTAGGGGATTTGAGCTCAAGTGATTGTTCTGCTTGCCTCGTGGCTGCTGTTGCGCAGTTGAAGAATCTATGTGGATCAGCTGCTGCAGCTGATGTGTACCTGGGTCAGTGCTATGCTCGTTACTGGGCATCTGGTTACTATGATCGCTCTTCAGGTTTGCTCCATGCTTCCTCCTTTCTTCATGTGATTCTAAAAGTAGAAAGGTGCCCTGATTTTTTCACTAAACACAAAGGTAAAATGTATTATTTCATCCGTTATTTTCATAAATTCATCAAAAGAGCTCCATTATTATTGATTTTTTTCAAATGAACTATAATATTTTTTATTTCAAGAAATTAAATACATTCTGTCAAAATTAAATATTTATCTAGCCAATTGAAAAACAAATTTCACCTTTGATTATTATCATCAATTTTTCTTTCATATTCTTTTTAAGCTAGCAAATTGTATTCAGTTGGCTAAAAAAACAAAATTGATCGAGGGATTTTTCTTGATAAATTAGCAAAAACGCAAGGTGCAAATTAATAATGGATTTAGCAAAAAAACAAAAGCTTATGTTTTTTCTGTTCACCAATTATAGAGGTAGGCTGCAAACAAACACATGGTCCCTTTGTTACAAAAAGGGGCTTAAAACATATTGCAATGGTATTGAAAAGCAGAGCAAGATTTTTGTAGTAGTTTCGTAGATATTAATATCTGTTTAAAATCTTTAAATCTGTATTACATTATGATCCTATCGAATAGCATAAAATTGATTAATATAACCCATCCTAACTAGTTCGAAATCTAGGCTTGGTTGTTGTTGTTATATGCAACTGTGTCGCCATGCCTCAATGGATTGCTCTAAAAGCACACTAGAATTTGCCCGTAGTGACACTGTATGCCATTACATCCCTTGTCATTTTGTGGATCCATTCATCATTGGTTGTACTAAGTTAAGAAAACGAAAGTGACCACTCTAGGTTTTTTTTCTAAGCAGTGAGAAGGGTGGTAAATCCTTGGTTGTATTAAGTTAAGAAAACGAAAGTGACCTCTCTAGGTTTTTTTTTTTTTTTTTTCTAAGCAGTGAGAAGGGTGGTAGGAGACCATTTGAATTTTCTTCCCAAGCAAGAAGTCAACAAATATTTCTTTAATAAAGTAAAGCATCAAGGGATATGGGCACTTTGGTCGCTTTCTTTTAGGCACTTTCATTTCTTAATGCATTCTTCTCTATTCTATCTAGCTTTTCCCCCATCTTCTTCTTTTTTAACTATTCAAAAAGAGATGTCTTCTTTGTATGAGGCGTGGTTAAATAGTCCGGTGGATAGAAAAGGTGTCGACTTACATTATTTTTCAGTGATCAGGTCACTTGCACACTTCTACTATATGCAGTTGGCACAATTAGGTGTCATGATTTCCTCAAAGTTCCACTTGATGACTGATTGGATGCACGAAAAGAAGAGCAAGATGGAATCTCAGAACAATCGATATTTTATACCCCATTTAGTTGAATGATTATGATCCTTAATTCCTTTGTCTTGTTACAATTCAATGGACTTAAAAGAACAAAAATGTCTGAACTTTTCCAAGTGCGAAAATCTCCTTTTCACTAAATTATTTGCCACAATACTTGTTTATGTAGAATCTATTAATAACACAGCAGAGTTAAAGGGTTGAGGATATATGCTTTAAAAGGAACAACGTTATGTGCTAGTGGCAGCTTTGTTTAGTCTCTTTTCAAGCCGTTTGCAGAGGACTAATTCTATTGCTTTTGCTGCTTTTGGTGTTTGTATAGATTCCCCTAGCGAGGATGACGTGGGAAAAACAGTAGCCATTATTGTTGGTGTGCTAGCAGGTCTAGCCATCCTCATCGTTTTCCTCTCATTTTGCAGAAGAGCTATGGGTAAGAATTTTTCTGCAAATTTATGTTACTTTTAGTCTCATTTTAATTATATATGATAAAAATTATTGAATGATAGCTTCTTCAATGCAGATTAAGAAGAGTAAAGGACAGACATCTCGCAAATTACTGAAGGGTAGTCATGTGGAAGCTGCTAGGTCCCTATGTATATCGTTGTTTTAATATTTCTGTGAGAGATCCGTTTTTACTTTTGTCCTTTCAAATGTAATGAATTTTGACACAAAAAAAAAAGGTGGTGTTATCCTCTGGTATAAAGTAACACTAACCTCAATCAACTTTAAAATCTGCCGATTCCCTTCTCTGCAATTCACGCTATCCAAAACCCTATCAGAACTTTAAAATCTGCTGATTCCCTTCTCTTCAATTCACGCTATCCAAAACCCTATCAGAATCCTTTAGCATATTATTTTATTTTATTACTGCTGGGTGTGTGTTTGATAATAAGTTTTTTAATTTGAAAATATATAGAGGTTTTCAAAAAGTTAAAAAGATTTTTAGGAGAATTCATAAAAAATTATTATGATAATTATTGATTAATTAAATAATTTTAAATTCATGGAACGAAACGCAAACTTTACCGGACCGCTACGCATAAATAAAGGAAACCTCATTTACAAGGCTATACATTTCTAGATCAAGTCTAGAAGATGTTGTTAAAGTGGAAACTGATCCAAATTGTGATTATCTCCAACTCTGATGCTGCATCTTGAGTCTAGAAGATGTTAAAGTGGAAACTGATCCAAATTATGATTATCTCCAACTCTGATGCTGCATCTTGAGTTGGGAGTTCTTTTGCTATTTGGCCTTGGATTAAACAATTATGTTAGCTATTAGCCTACTACCACCTTCTATTGTGTATTAAATATCGTGGGGTAATTCAGTTTTCTGTCAGCAGCCCTAGAAATGAGTTAACTGACTGTTCAAGTTAATCTAGTTAATCAGGACTAACTAAAATGGAATTGTTCTGACTATTCACTTTGCATTTCTTCAATTTTTGAAAAAATCTCTGGTTTTTTCGATCAGGAAACGGTTTTTCTTTAGGTTTTGATGGAATATGCGATCACGATCACCTGCAGGTCAATGAGCTCTCTTCAATATCTATAAGGTCTCGACAATTAAATTAAGAATCTTAAATTCAATCCTTTCTGAGTGTTCTTCCTCTTGAGCCAGAACCCAATTCCATGCATGGCCTTCCGTTAAAAATCTTGGATGATTTATCAGTTTTCTGTTGCTGTACCACTCCAATAATAGGCCCAATATTGACACCCTGTTTTTTAATGCCTTATGATCAGGAATACAGCAAGAAGTAAAAAGTTTTATAAGTCTTTTTATTATATGAAGAATTATTTTTTTATGGGATAAAAAGTGAACTTAATAACGCTTAACTATAAAACAAAAAAGATTTCCAGTTTTCGTGGATTCGCTTGTGCTGTGTAGATTATTTTAAATTTTAACTTCGCATGGATAATCGTCTTGTTTTATGGAACATTGAGGTGTGGGTTGGGCTTGGGCCTCGAGGAAAATAAATTCTCCGGTTGTTAAAATATTTTTATTTTAGACGCATCACAGAATATTTTATGCTCAAGACTGTTAAAATATTTCATTTTAGTGTATTTCGTAGGCACCATGTGGTTTTGTAATTTTTATTTTTCAATATTCCCATTATGAATTATCATAATTAATTATTATTTTATTTTTGGCTTGATGGATGCACTTTCATACCATACTGATATGTTAAAAAAAACGTCTAATATATTAAATTTTAAAATTAAATTATAAAACTTTTAGAAAAGTAAATTTCTTTGATCCACTAACCGATGTTTTGAAGTTCATAATTAAGTTATTGAGTATTAATTAGGAATTGGTTGGGCTTGAAGGGAGAAAAAAATATTTGGTTTGTGAAAATATTTGAGTTTTTTTTAATTGATTTTTTTAAATTAAGAATTAAAGTTTATAATTTGATTTAATTATTTTTTTATAAATTTACAATAATTTTATGATTTTGATTGCAAGTTTGGAGAATTAATTCATATTGATTCGGATAATTTTTTAAAATTTAATCTTTAAATATTAAATTGATCAAATATTAACAAAAAAAAATTTGTTAATTAATTTTTTTAAATTTAATTTTTAAATATTAAATTGATCAAATATTAACATATTAATTCAAGTTAATATAATATATTAAATTTTTTTAGTCAAATTATATTTTAATAAATCATTTAAATTATTTTCTAACTATTAAAATTAATCAAGCTATATCAAATTAATCCTAACCTATCATTTTTTTTCCGCTAAAAAAAACTTGTTAAGAGCGCATATCGGTGAGAGAAAAATCCTCCAATTGCTAAAGTATGTTCCTTCCCTTTTCTTTGTTTTTTCCTATGTGGCATATTGTACATCGTGGAGTCCTTCTAAACTCAAAGTGAATAAGTTTTCCATTCTCGAATCAACTTGCTCACTTTCTTCAGCATCAAGGTGTACAAAAGTCAACATTTATGAACAAAGCATGCAATTTTCTCGGTTGATTTACATGGGTTTGAGTTTTTATTTCTTCGAGTCTCTAGCTTGATCAAATTGAACAGGCATGTTAACAACTATATACATAGACTCTAGTCGGACCATGATGTTGTTTGGTTGAAATATACAAACATGTTTTTTTTTAATATTTTTTTGTTTTGACAGTATAAGAATTTATTTTAAAACTTTTTGAGAGACTGATTTATTTTATATTATATCTCTTTAATTAAATATTTTTATATTTTTTTTTATATCTGGGACAGTAGCTAAACACAGTAAAAAAAAATTAGATAAGTCTTTGGGTTGGAGCATTAATCTTGCCGCTTTGACTAGACAAAAAATAAATAAATAAATCATTACAGGATAAAATCAAAAAGCTCTTCATCAAAATAATAAAATATCTTTAATTTTGCCAAGGAAATCATTAGTACAATTGCTATTACAATTGTGATTACATTGATATGAATGAAAAATCACATTTATTTCTTACACTGAAAATTTCTTTGAATCACATTTATTTCTTACACTGAAAATTACAAAGAAAGAAAACTATACTTGCTGGAATATACATGATAAACACCTTGTAAATTCTTCCCTTTTCTGCAAATGAAAATTTAATAATCTTATTTTTTTTTCCCAAAAGAAACTAAATTTAGTATACCCCAGAAAGAACATTATATGCAAATAACAGCCCCTTAATCAATCATCTACATAATCTGAACGAATGATTAAAGGCCGGCGGTGAATGGCACTTTGGTGGCCGGCAACCAATTATTTCCCGAAATGAAGTTGGCTACAGTGAACTGTGATGCCACGGATGCACTAGTGATAACGTGGTAGCCTTTCCAGTTAACTCTATTGGCAGTAGATGATCCAGGGCCAGTATTCATGTATTCTCCATAATATAAAGTATCAAGAGCAAAATTACCACTCCATGGCATCCAACCAGCTGAGTTAATCAAGCTGTCAAGGTATGTTTTCATGAAAACAGTCCTTGAGTATTTTTGCCATGGCCTGCCGAGGTATGTTTTAACGGAGCTTTGGACTGACTTTAAGTCGGAAGCAGCAGTTACCTTACAATTGTGAATTGAAATTCCGGTGTTTTGGTTAGGGTCTGTCCTCCCCTGAGCGGTAACGGTATTGGTCTTGTTAGGAGGGTTTCGTGCATAGATGTTACAGTTTTGAAAAACAACCGCAGCGTTGCCAAATATGAAGTCAACAGTGCCATAAATGTCACATTCTCTATAGAACTGTCTCTGAGAATGGACATAGAGGGTGTCTTGGTATCCTTCAAAGCTGCACTTGTAGAACACCGATAAATCTGAGCCGGAACGTAAGGCAACTGCCTGATGATTTTTAGCGCCGGCTGTGTTTCTAAATGTCATGTCTCGAGCAATAAAATTATCTCCAACCACGGCTGAAGATATTCAAAACGATGTTATTAGATTTCAGTAATTATATATTTTTATTAAAATAAATCATCGCGATTATAATATTGGTATATGCATAAAAGATGAATTAATTTGTTGCAAAATAGC